GCCCCCAGTGCTCCCAGCGCTCCCAGTGACGGCCCCAGTGCTCCCAGTGACGGCACCAGTGCTCCCAGTGACTGCACCAGTGATCCCAGTGACGGCACCAGTGTTCCCAGAGCCTCCCAGTAACTGCACCAGTGATCCCAAGTGTCCTGCACCAGCACCACCCAGTACCTCCCAGTGTGCCACACCACCTCCCCCCAAAACCTCCCAATACTCCACACCAATCCCACCCAGTGCCCCTCGATAACCCCAACCCCAGCACAGCTCCACCACGACACCAGTCAGGAAAACTCTTCTTTCCCCATCCCAGTAACACAGTGCAGCCACCAACGAATCCCCTTTGCCACCCACCCCCTGGGGCCACCAGCACTGCCCAGGAGGTGGCTGTGGTTGCCCCCCAGGTCAGACAGTGGCCTCGATCTCGGGGGGCTCGTCCTCCTCCAGCAGGCTGTACGCAGCGTGGCTCTGGAACGGGCGCTGCAGAGGGTGTGCCAGCAGCTTGGCCATGCAGTTGTGCAGCTCCACTGCAGGTCCTGTCAGCGACACCTCGTACTTGTAGTTGGTGCCTTTGGTGTCCAGGCTGCTGAAGAAACCGTACATCTCCTGGGGATGGGGACACAAGGATAAGCAAAGCAGGCAAAGGGTGACAAACCCTCCTACATACACTGCCAACCCCCCCAGGCTGCCTTACCTTCCAGCTTGTCTCCTCATCCTTCTCCTCCACCCCGTTGTGGATGTAAACCACATCAAAGAAGAAGTAGGGACACTGCAGCATCTTCTGCAAGGGCACCAGGAAGCTCTGCCAGGTGCTGGGATAACCCTAGAGCTGCAGCTTTCTGACCCCTCAGGTATCCCTCAGCATCTTCCCTGACAATCCCCCAGTATCCTCCTAACATCCTCAGCATCCCCCAGAATCCTGATGACTTCCCAGTATCCCCTCAGTATCCCCCCCAGCATCCCCAGTATCCTCCTAACATCCTCAGCATCCCCCAGAATCCTGATGACTTCCCAGTATCCCCGCAGTATCCTCCCCAGCACCCCCAGTATCCCCCCAGCACCCTTTTTGATTATTCTCCAGTATTCCCCCAGCACCCCCAGCATCCTCCAGTATCCTCTGGGCACAGCTACTGCATCCCCATACATCCCTCATGCATCCCTTCAGCATCCCCCCTGGTAACTCCCCAGTATCCCCTCAGCATCCTCTGCTAACTTCCCAGTATCCCCCCCATATTCCCCAGCATCCTGCCCAGACCTCCCAGCATCCCCCCAACATACTCCCTGACAATTCCCCAGTATCCCCAT